GCGTTGTCTCTCCGCCGGGTCGGAGCCCGTCCGCTTTCGGCTCCTTGAAGTCTGCTGCTGGAAGCGGGCCGGGCTGTGGGCAGCAGGGGCTTCTCTCCACTGCAGGGGGGGAAGCAGGGTGAGATTGGGAGGAACGCGGCCCCCCTCCTCCGTGAACCTAGCTTGGATGTTAATACTGGGGGGGAGGGGAAATGCAAGGTTTAGGCAACTTCTTTCGTCTGCCTGCGCTTGGTCGGTGGGCGCAGCGTGGCCGTCCTCGGGGAGGCTCCTTGCACGCCCGCAGGTGGGAGGGCTTACGGTCACGCTGTGAAATGTTTTAAAGGGTGCTTCGTGTGCCGTAACATAAGCAGTAAGTTGTAACAAGTAGGATGTCGGCTCTCCGGATGGCCAGCGAAGAAAAATTGAAATTGGCGTATAAAAGCTGCCGAGGAAGTGCCTTAAAAGGGGGTGAGGCCCTGCACCCAGATCTCAATTGTCACAGAAATGAGGTTTTGCCTTTGCAGTTATTGCTTGCTGCTTAGCTCAAAATCTCTCCCTGGAAACCCTTGAGTTGTAAGGCAAAGGGTTTCTGTAAATAGTCTGGTGACTTAACTAATATTTCTGCCCTTGTTTTGTTTTGTTTTTTAGTAAGGCTTAACGTGAGGAATGCAGATTGTACGATGTGCTTTTTGGATCCCTGCAGGAATAGGGGAATTGTGCTGCTAAGTGAGGAGTAATATGTTGAAATATTTTTCGCTATTCAGTAACATACAGAAGTTTCAAGTAATGTATACAGGGGTGTCAGTTGTAACCATGTTGGTCTAAGGGCATGAGCAGACAAGGTTTTGGGGTAAATCTGTCTTTTATTAGACCAACTTAACTCAATGGAAAAACTTCTTAGCAAGCTTTGGGGGACAAACACCCTTTGTCAGGCTGAGGAAGCATCTGTAAATGGGCTGTAATATATTGGCACACGTGGAAGTGGATCTTCAATAGTTTGGCTTGTTACTTAGCTTTTAGTTCAAACATGATTTGGTGTAGAGATTAATAAGGATGAACATATGACCCTAACACTGAATTTTGCTTTAGTTTTCAATAAGGACGACGAGATTGAGTGTCAGTTCAAAAGCAGAATGTCGAATAAGTATTTGGGTATAGGACCTGAAGCTGTTGTAGCCAAGGTAGAAATAAAACTTGTAGAGCATAGCTCACGGATAATCTCTGTCCTCCAATTCCAAAAGAACTGCCATTTGAATTGGCAAATCCAGTAGCAGTATTTTTTGATAAATGTAAATAAATTTAAGTCTGGGGTGCTGTCTGGTGGCAGAAGAATAATGAATGTAGGGGCTATATACAAGCAGCAAGGGAGAACGTGATTTGGGGAATACTAGTTTGTTAGTCTGACCCCAATAGTATGCAAGGCTTCAGGAGATTCTGAAGATACCTACAGAAATGAAAATAATTGGAAAGTAAGATAAAATGCAGTATGGGTCTACCAAAGAGAGGCTAGACTACTCTGACGTCTTTTTGATGAGATAAATGATTGCTTAAACAATGGAAAAGCAATACATCTTATCAGTTCAGGTTTAGTGAAAGCATGTGGTATGGTGCCACATGGTATGTTAGTAGTTAAACTGTGAAAGATGGGGATTGATAAAAGTGGTAAGGGGAGTATGAACCTGACTAATGGGGAGGGGATGAGGAGCTTCCTGGAAAGAAGTATTGGACTCAAGGATGGTTACCATTCCTTGAAGATCAGGCTTGAGGTTGTTCTAGCTTAAGGTTTTTATTAGTGATCTTGACGCACAAAATAGGAGCATGTTGAAGAAATTTTGTTGAGTTAACAAAAGTTGATAGCATTGTCAGTACAAACTTAGATTGAGATATCATGTAGAAAGAATTGGATTGCCTTGAGAAAAGGCCAAGTAGAAGGAACTGTAACAGAAGGAAATGTAATAATACAAAGTGCAAGGTTATTTCTGGTTTCCAGGTTCATAAAAAGTGTGCTGTAAGGTAAAGTTAAGAAGAAAGCTAGGGTAGTTCACCGGATAAACTAGGATAGATCACACAGAATGACTGAGCTGTCTGTATGATGCAGCATTGAAAAAAGCAAATGCAAACCAAGAATATACCAAATGAGGTATTTTCATGAGAGAGAAATATCAGTGCCATTGTACAAAGTTGAGATGTCATCTGAGATACTGTGTACAGTTCTGATTACCCATATTTATAAGATATGGAATGGAGCGTGTGCAGAGCAGGATGATCAAAGGAAAGAAAAACTTATCTTTTAAGAAGCAACTGAAATCAGGATGCCTAGAGACATCCTGAGCTGTCCTGTGATACTTTCCAGGCTGCTGTGAGGGTGTGCTGTGCAGTATTAGCACAGTTAGGCATGTAAATGTGATCCACAAGATAAACTTGGAGGTTTCAAAGAAGAATCTGTAGTGTTAAAAACATTCTGACCTGTTGTGCTTTTCTGAGTAGTTCTTTTATTTTTCTGCACTCAAAAATTGAGTGAAAATTAAGAGCTGACATTTTCACAGGGGTGCCTTAAGTCTGAAGGTTGCCTTGAATCTAAAGAGGTTGAGAGCAACTCATGGCAGAAAGAATACAGGGCACATCCAGATGAGTGCACGTGTGCGCTTTGTGGCACCTCAAAGGTTCTTGAGGCACGCAGTGCATGTGAAAAAGTTCTTAGTGCAGGCCCAAAATCAGATTCTGGGAAATCCCAGTATTTTTTTTTTTTTTTTTTATTAAAAAAAAAAAACAGGCAGCGCACATGGGCTATTTATCCCCCAGGAAACGCACATGTGCACTTGTCTGGACATGCCCAGAGAGGATATCATTGATTGTTATAAATGCATTGGAGTAAACTGAGAGGAATACAAGCTATTTAAGGTAAAAGGACAGTGTTGGCCCAAGAACAAATGGGTAAATACTGTGTGGGAATTAATTTGGGCTAGAAATTACGAGAAACTTTCTAACCATCAGAACAGTGAATTTCTGGAACAGCCTAATAATGGTGGCTGGAAGGGGGAAGAAAAAACAGTTTGGAGTTAAAGCTTGATCATTTTATGAAAGTGATTTATAGGACACTGCTACTTGCAGTAGCAAGGGGATGAACTTTTTGACTTGAGGTCTTTGCCAGTCCTGTGTAAAACTAAAAACTTGAAAGGTACCGGCAGATGCAGTTGCATCAGATAATTATAGTTAATTTCAATGGAAATCTGTCACATTAGATCATGCTTGTCTCAAAATACGTTTGTCTTGTCTGCAAACAGCCAAGCTTTTATTCTCCAATAAGCTTTTTATAGGTGAACACCTGAATCTGCACACAACTGTTTTTGAAAGCCTGGGGTTTGAGGTTGGAGAGAGCGAGCTGTTCTTGTGGCGTGTCAGATGCAAGGCGTTCTTCAGGTCGCCATCACAGCTACAGCATCAGTCTTATACTAGTAGAATTTGTAGATAATGTTTACTTAGGTTACTTAAATATAGAGATGGTTGTGAGGAACTTGAGGTACCTAATCAGGTTAGCTGGATGAATCAGTATTGTTAAAACCCAACTAATACAGACAGGAGTGAAGGGGGTGTGGGAAGAATAACTAGCCCTATGCTTTTCAGTGTTCTAAATTTAATTATATCAGCTCAGGAAATGCCCTTATTTCTCACTGTAGCCATGGTAATTGTGCTGAATTGTACCATGACTTAAAAAAGGCAAGCAAGACATTAGGGTTAACAAATAGCAGGATAGAGGGTAATGCAAAAGTTCTTTATATGAATTAGTAGTTATACTTTCATCCGGAATATAATGCAACACTAGTTAGTATCACAAAAAGAATAATGCAAATTAAGGGGCGGTGAGTGAAACATAGAATATGTGAAACGTGTAATATGGAATAACTGGAGGACCGGGAAGGTAGGAATTGTTAACTTCAAGTGACAAATGAGAGTGTGATTTTAAAAATGCACAATCTAACACATAGTGAAGGTCAATCAGGAACTTCTGTTCTCAGTCTTAAAAAGAACAAGGAAATATCCAAAGGCATTAACAGGTAGCAAATTCAAAACTGATAAAGCTAAATACTGTTTTTCTTACAATGGCTGATTAAACTTAAAAATGCTACTGCTTGATGCTACTGAGGCTAAAATCTTACTGGTATTCAAAGTATGATGGAATGCAGGTAAGAAGCATGACCAGAAGTAATAGATGACATTTAACAAATGTTAGGCGGTATAGAACATCTCATGTGAGACACTACTTCAGGAAACACTGCTTCACAGTCAGGGCGGCTAGGATCTGGAACGAACTTCCAAGGGAAGTGGTGCTCGCTCCTACCCTGGGGGTCTTTAAAAGGAGGCTAGATAGACACCTTGCTGGGGTCATTTGACCTCAGCATTCTTTCCTGCCCACGGCAGGGGGTCGGACTTGATGATCTGCTCAGGTCCCTTCTGACCCTACCAACCATGAAACTGTGTATGGTGGTTTAAATCTTCACTTGTTTGGAACTGAGATGATCCTTTCATGGTACAAAGTTTCTTGTTCTTTGCTTAATAGCCTTTGGTTTCAGCTCTCTGAGACAGGGTGCCTGGACCAGATGTACCAGGGGTCTGATCAGGAGTTGCCATACTAGTTCTGTCTCTGTGTCTCTGTCTCTCTCTCCACTACCCCCAGTTTTAGTTTGCTTTTTGACTGCACTCTGTATATAGGCATTTCCCACTTGTTTTTTCCACTGTAGTGTAGGAAATACAACCTAAATGAAAATAAGAATAGGTAGTTGTCAGACCACAAAAGTAGGGGACTTCGTAACAACTGTAGCATTTAGAACTAATTTTAACTTGCTTAAATTAACTTGATGTCCCTTTTTCAAAATGTGCAGCATGGCAAGGCCAAGATTTGAACCTACCATAATCTGCAGTAGAGAGGGTGGTGTTGCCCCACAATGCTGTTGGACCCCATAACATAACGGTTGAATTCTCAGTTCTGATTTACTTGTTCCCACATGCAACAAATGAGCTGTTGCTTCTATGGGTATAATTCTAGGTGGTTTCTTGAAAGTAATCGGGTCCCCATTCAGCTTCTGTTGTAACACTCGATACTGTTGGCTGCAAGAGCAATTCACTGTGCGCTATGTACAGTTAAGGAGCAACCTGCCTCTCCAGACTTTTTTCCACCTTTAGCAGTCAACCCAGTCTTGGACTGTGCCAAAAAAAATCTCTGTTCCTTTCCCTTTGGTGAGAAGTTATCCAAAATAAAACTAAAGGAAAAAAGAAACAAGTAAACAAATTCTCTGAAGAGAAAAGCATTTGAAAGAGGACACAAAGAGATGTCAGTGACTATTGGGACATGCTATAAGGAATCTTGAAACAGCGATACCCATCCCTAAGACCCTAGTGAGAGCTCCAGCCCAAAGAGTTAAAAAGTGATAACAGCTACAAAAGAGAATGTTTAAGTTGGTGTTTTCATATAGCTGACATAATTCAGGCACTGCTGTAGTGGGGAAAGCGCATGAGAATATTTAAATGATATTGTCTTTTGTATTAGATCAAGCAGACAGAAATGCAAAAAGTAAGCACTAGAAGTTATGTTGAGCTTTAATTCTTTTCATTTTAATCCAAGTGCTTAACGTGTACATATCTTAAATTATTTTTAGTCTGGTAGTGTCACTAGTTTTTTCCACCTGTGTGTAACTTTTGGCAGTACTTCATTAGTGTGTGGAGAGAAATGGCTAACCTCTGCCACAAGCCAATTACTTCTTCTTCATTTTTATTTCTTCTGAAGCTTTTCAGAACACTGAACAAGTAACTTAATCTCTTTACTAATACTGCTACTGAATTTTAGGCTTTATCCATAACCCTGCATTGAGAAATATCAGTGCACAGCAACCACTTGTAATTTCTGTTTCCTGGATCATCCTCACAAAAAATGCAAGAGGCTCCCAGCTTCCATTTATTCTTTAATAAATTGAGGTGTGGATATAGGTAAGATACAAATTCCCTTCCTCCATATTATTTAACTGCACTAGGGAAAGTGTTTTACACCCAAATGTTCATAGTCCTTGGAGCAGAAGGGGGAAAAAAGTGAAAGCTTCAATTGGCAGGCTGTTACCTCTTACATTGGCAACTGAGTTCCTTAAGAACCCTACTTCCTTTTGTAAATCTCCTTCTAGAAGCTTTTAGGAAGAATACAGTAATATCTTCAAAAGATAGTATGGGTAGCATAACTATGCTAGTACATGCACTTAACCAAAAAAGTGATGATATTTGTATCTGTTTCATATTGGTCTATATAATGGTTTTCATGCTTACATGGGGGCCTTTCAGCATATTTTCAAGCTTATGTTTCTTAAGTCTGAAATGTTTCTTCGTGAATCTCAAGATATATATTTGAACTCATTGTGAAAGTGTCAAACTGAATAATTATGCCAAACTACAGGAATAACAGTACAGTTTCTTGCAACTAAATTTAGAAGGTTGTGAAAGAGTAATACTAGAGGATTTGTTACCTGGTCACTGATTTTTTCTCCATTCTTAACGGTTATGGGCACCATTGGGTTAAATACCAAGCAAACAACCAATTTTTTTAAATCCCTAAAGCCCTTTCACCAAAACCCATAGCTGATGAATGATTTACTTTTTGCTCCTTTAGTTGATGACCTGGTTGCCTTTTTGATAAAATAACTCCTTTGCTATGCTTTTAAGAGGCTCTTCCATATCCAGGTCTCAACTTTCCAGTGCCTTGTCCTTTGTCCTCTGCAATTTTCTTTGTAGCTAATTTCATTCTCAAATAGATTGTAAATACCACTTCCATGTTAAAGACTTGAATGTCCTCTAGGTCCAGCTGTGTCTGTCCAAACTAGAATTTTGGGGCACCTATACACATGCTCAGGGGCAGGGGAGCATTTTAATTAGAGTGGTTCTCAGGAGCTGCTCTAATTAAAACGCCTGCAGTGTCTTGTGTATTAAGTGTCCTGCATTTCAGGCAGGAGCAATTTAACTAAGGCTTGTTTGATATGCTTTAGTTAAAGCTCCCCCACTGCCATTTGAAGCATGGGGACACTGAATGCATAAGATGCATCAGCAGGCTCAATTAATCAAATTGCTCCAAGAGAATCTAATTGGAGCTCATGCAAAAGTGTCCTTAGAGATGTCAGACTGCCCTTGCAGATGTTTACCCTTCTGTTCAGGCTTAACATGATTCTTACTCCATCCTTTCCACTGTTAACCCCTTTCTCCTTACTTAACACTATGGAAAGCATCAGAGTCATGCAGGATCCTCATCTTGGTATAATTTTCAACATAGGCTTCTCTAGGTCCTCCTATCCATGTTATGCTTTCTACATAGCACTTGTAAGATGCAGCTTTTCCTGTCCATTGACACAGCTTAAACTCAAGACTTTCATCTTGCCTCTTGATTACTGCGAGAGACAGGAATTTCTTAGGGTGATATCTCTTACTGGACAAACTGTAGATAAAGTTTTGAATGCAAGACACTTCATCGGGTCTTGCATTTGAAAGCTTGTCTAACTTTATCCCAACTACACAGTTGATCCAATAAAAGATATCGCCCTTAAAAATCCATGTCTCCCTCATAACTTCTAGACCATTACAGCTACAATATCACTCTTGCACTACTCTTGAGTACTGCAACATTCTTCTTTTCATTCTTGGTAATTAGCTTTGTTTTGCTTGAATTCATTAGAATGCCACTTCAAAGGCTGCTTTTTTAGCTTATGGTTTTGCATCTTTCCATTGGCTCTCCTTTCATCACATCAAATTTGCTGCTTGTTCCTTTTTTTTTCCCTTTAAGGCCATATCCTTTTCTATCATTCTTCATTTAGTCAGTATTGAGGAGCTGACACCAGCCTCCAATCAATTAATAATACTAGATTACATTTTCCACTTGTTGAATTTTCAAATAAATCCCATATGTTTTATTTCCTATGCTGCTTCTTTACCCTTGAACAAGTTCCTTAAGCATTCACAAAGCTACCTTATTACCTTCTTAGGATCTTTGTTTCCCCTGGTGTCTGATTATGGATAGGCAGTTTTTGAGCTGAGATGTTGCTTCTTTACATCCATCTGTGCCTCTTTTTCTGATGTGTAGATAGTAATTCTTGGACAGGAACTATTTTTGATTGTTTGTGAAGCCCTTAATCTTAACCCTGAACTAGTGTTCTTGAGTACTACCATAATACAGTAAGTAACAAAACACATTCAGATTAGTATAAGTTTAACTACGTTAACGGTCAAACTGAGAGATCGTGGTTCTTGAGTAAATACATAATGAAAGGTAGTGCATGTTCAAGTTTTGCAAAGCCACCAAAGTTGAAGTTTGGTCTAGGTTCACAGCTAGTCTGCATCTTACATTCTACCACATTTCAGAAACTTGCCAATGGGACATCATTGTCAGTTACTGGAGCCTGATGCTCTTTTGGTTGAACTCATTCAGGAGGTATTGCATTAAACTGCCCTGGTTCTAATGTCACTTGGCCATGCCTGCTGGGGACAGTGCTTTGGATAGGAGTAGTAGAGGCAAAAGCTGGGTCTTTGCTGCTGAAGTGAGATGGAGAAGAAGAAAGAAAGGGTGCTTGATCTATCTCTTGAAGATGGTAACCTACTCTGCATTGGCTCATTTCCTATTGTCTGGTAATAGATACAGCTAGAGGGGACATGCCTGTTTTTTTTGTTTTGTTTTGTTTTCTGCCTTCTCAAGGCACTCATTTAATTGGGTGCATAAGGGTCTCCCCTAAGTTTGTGGTTCAACTGCAGTCACAAATCTACCTAATAAACTGTTTATGTAGGGCACCAGATATCATATTTTTACTTTTGTTCCCAGTTGTTAGGACTAGGTTTTTGCACTAGCAATAGGAAAGCTGTTCCTGAACAAAAAAAAAAATCAGTACAGGTTTCCCTTGCTTTGTGTTGCATGTGTGTTCCTGGAAAATGGTGCATTATGCGAATTCGAGTTAAGGGAACCCACTTTGCAATGTAACAAATAGGGATATGTTCCAAGACCTTGGCTGTCCTGATCCCCAGACCCATTTCTACCACTTTTACGAGTTTTGGTACTCACCAACAGCAAACAGTACACACAAGCACAGTGTGGTGGTGAATGTTACCATAATGGGGGTGACAACTGAAGAAACACATGTTGCAGACAACAAGCAAGGAGCACAGATCCACATAGGAGACTATTTTGGTGCGTGTCACTCCCACAATGCATTGTACAAAGCAGCTGACTGCAGGCTTCTACCCCACCAGTCTCATAAGAGTGAATTTACCTTGCATATAACGATTTTTTTGGTATAAAAAGGGTCATTGCATAAGAGCAAATTTGCACATACAGAACCCGCATAAAGCAAGGGAAACCTGTATTCTAGACCAGTGGTTCTCAAACTTTTTTTTGTGGACCACTTGACGATTGCTGAGGGTCTTGGCGGGCCACTTAAACTTTTTTTGTTCTACAGATCAAAGCACAGCAATCATATTTTAATAACAGTAGTCTTACCTTACAAGTTCAGATATTCTCCATTTGTTCCGCAACCCTTCTGCGGACCACCTGAATAGAGCTCGCGGTCCATAGTCCTGAGAACCTCTGTCCTTGATTAAAGGATGAGAATTGAACATGCCTTCCCCCTGAAGGTTTACACACACGTGTTGAATGTATGGAGAGTTCTAGTTCTGTTCTTAAATAAGTCATTACATGGATTCTGAAATGAGGCTATGGCCCTGCTTTCCATTTGTGAAAAGCTGGGTCAGCAGTAGTCTGTGTCAGAGTATAAAGAGGTAGACCATAAGAGCTGCTACAAGGCTAAGGTAGCTGAAGTGAAAAAAAGTGGAAGAATGGATGAGGATTTCTACAGCAGTAGAGTTTGGTGGTGTTGGTAAACAGATCCTTGGTAGAATTACAGACCTGGGTGTATTAAGAGAGAGCACCATTTGTGGTCAAAGATGACGCCAACTTAAGCAATGGAAGCAGATGGAAATCCAAGTTCTTCAAGGATAGGGCTCTTTGGCAGCCTCCAGTGAAAAATAGCAACACTCAAAAATCATAAAGACAATTCTTGCAGATATAAGAGATGCAAAGAAGAAGCCTCTTAAATATTTTCTGTTCTGCTTATACAGTGTCATTTTACTTTCTTTGGTTTGTGGAAAAGAAAAGGGTCATGTAGAGTTGAGACCAATTTCTGGTATGAAATATTGCCACATCACAATTTTTTTTTTTTTCTTTGCAGGTTCATATCTTGTCTTGTAGGCAGCTGGGACAATGTTCTACGCCCATTTTGTACTGAGCAAGCGTGGGCCGCTGGCTAAAATCTGGCTAGCGGCCCATTGGGATAAAAAACTAACTAAAGCTCATGTATTCGAGTGTAATCTAGAAAGCAGTGTGGAAAGTATCATTTCACCTAAGGTAACTGTTTTACAATGCTATTGATGATGTTGCTGGTTCTTTGGAAACAAAGACCAAGCATGACTGAAAATCAAGTTAATATTCTGATTGCTTAACCTGTGCAATTCTTTTAAGATGTTGGTAATGGAAAGACATGTTGTTTTAAGTATGAAATAATACATGAATCATTCTGCTGTAAAGAGAGGCTTGGGCTTGTCACTCAATTTTGTTAGGGTTTTTCAAGGTATGGCCAGCTTTAATATACTTTAACCAAAGCAGGGTTTAACATCTGTGAATTATCTTAATGTACTGCTTATGGAGCTGAAATGTTTTAAGTGGAAGAGCAAAAGGGAAAACCCAGCTACATGCTAATGGTTGACCATTTCTCACTGTCCTCGTTGAAAACTATTGAAACAGATTGTACCTGAAAAATACTTGCTTCTGCTTTGTAGGGTAACTACAAAGTAGATTCCTTCTCATATTAAAAAGGGTCAATGAATATATGTAGTAGCAATGTATTATTATTAATAGCAAGTAAGTAAAGTTCTCTTCCCTCAAGATAGGTCCTACATTGTGATATAGGAGCCTTGCTTTTTTGTGGCCTTGGCTGCTTTGCCTAATATTAAAGTACAGCTAGCAGAGCAAGTGTGAAACATGCCAAATGACAAAGTATGTCAACTCTGAGAGAGAACAGAATGTTTTCTTCTTGCTGAATACCTACATATCAGAGGGAAAGCTTTTCAGCCCTTGTGCATTCATCTTGTCTCCATCCTCATGTCAGAACACGTACAAATATAAAAACATGTCACTGTACAGACACTTGAATGCCTTAAAGGAAAAATGATTTTTTTTCAGAAGGCCCTGAAGCTTGCTTCTCTGCTTAGTATTCTAATAGCTATAATGCTGTCTCCAGCTGGGATAGACGTTCTTGACTGTTTCGTTGCAGCTAATATGAACCTTATAAAAGCTCTGAATACAAACACATAATAGATATAATGGCACTGCATATCTGCATGGTACTTTATAGAAGTGACTGATTCTTTGCTTGCAAGAGTTCCTGAAAATGTCAGAAAACAACCAATTCAAAGGAAGCAGTTACGGGGTCACTAGAGTCTTGTGCTTCTTGTACCTTGGTGCTGATAAGGTTTGCTGTAAGCCTTGAGGAACCAGACATTTGTAATCTTTTTTTTTTTAAGTAAGATTCTTGTAAGACTTGTGGAGGTTTAGGACAGCTTTTATTATTGTGCATAATAGAAACCTAAGTTTCTGTAGCTTGGTTGTTTGTTTTTTTTTTAAATTAGGATGTTTTCACATATTCATCTTGGGAAATAGTTCCACTTATCCCTTAGTACTCAAGCTGCCTTCAGCCTAAAAGACACTTGTGGGGCGAGTGTTTCCTGGATCATGTATTATGAAATCCATGCTTTCCCCACACTGTATAAGGTGCCTGACTAAGTGTAAAAGTAGCACTGAGAGTGTTTAAGACAGAGGAGTGTACTTGTATATACAAGGCATTTGTAGAATCCAGTCCTTGAATCACTTGTCCTGATTATTGCTCTCAGCTTTTCTGACAGTCAGTCATTTTTTGGTGTTGAGTCATATAAGTTTAGTGAAAGGCTTATTTGCTTAAAATCCAAATAACATTTATTTTAGCTCATGGATGCCAGCCCTGTGGGCTGGATTCAGAGCATGGAGCCATGTCACTTGCCTGCAGGGCTACCAGAGCTCCTAGAGCCCAGGGCAGCTGCCACTGCCTACTTCCAGATTTCTGGCCCCACAGCTATGTACTCCAGATCTAGCCCGTAGGACTCTCCACAGGGTCAGAATCTAAGCTGCAGGATGAGTGGTGCAGCTCTGGGAGATTTTTGTTTCTGTTTTCAGTTGAGGCTGCTACTATTCATCCCACCACCAAATTTCCAGACTTACAAACTGAATGACATGGGTCCACAATCCAAATTGGACACCCCTGTTTTAGTCTAATGTTGTTCCACATCATGTCTTTTAATTCTGTGAACCTTTCCTTCATTACAGCTGCATTTGACTGTGTACTGTTTGCTAACTTACTTGAAAATGACCTGGACATTTCAAATGAAGCCTTCACTAAATGAACTAAAATTAAAGAAAAAGCATTTGCTCCAATCCTGTTAATACAGGATAATATTGCCATATGTTGTAAACCTTAAGTGGAATGCAGGCTGTTTATTTTTTTAAAGCATTTTGAAGAGTGCATGCTATATTAGGTAGATAATAAAAATATTTGGCTACTTACAAACATAAATCCTCCCCCCCCTTCAGACTCCTCATGCCCGTGCACTGAGCCCTGCACATGCCCAGAAGTGGCATCATATTAGTTGGACCCAGCTCGCTCATTGTCTCTCTAAATCGGGCACTTCTTTTTTGCCACTTTTTTTCTAAGGCTGATTCAATCCATTATTAGATAAAAGCACCCTGCTAAAACACCTGATCTATACAGATGCTGTGGAGCTTGGTCAAACTAATGTGCTGCTTGCTTTTGGTAAAGTGTACTACCTCCCTTCCCCAATCTGTCAGCACCCTTTGCTACTATTTTTAGAAATGTTGAGATTCTTTTTGAAAGTGTAGAACACTTCATATCAGCTGTTTTGGAAATAATGCACATCTCTCTCTACTGTGCCTTGCAAGCTATCCTACAATGATTTTAAATGTGCTTAGTATCCATCATAGAAAACTCTAGTATGGCTGACTTTCAATGAGGTTTTTTGCCCAGTAAAATTAATGTTTGTAAATTGTATACATCTGTTCTTACTTACTGATTGTAATATATTTTCAGGTGAAAATGGCACTTCGAACTTCAGGACATCTTTTATTGGGAGTTGTTAGAATTTACCACAGAAAAGCTAAATATCTTCTTGCAGACTGTAATGAAGCCTTCATTAAGATCAAGATGGCTTTTCGTCCAGGTACTTGGCTTTACCTAAATGCTCCCCTCAAAAGGTTATGTTACTATAAATAGTGCTTTTAATAAGCAGGCATGCCATCCTGTGTCATTCTGATAAGAGCACCATGAGAAATGCTTGGTTCTTTTTAGTGTGGCTTTAAGTTGCCTGTATTGTGGGGAAATGAACAGTTCACCTTAAATGCTATCTTGCATTTGGGTGGCTATGATTTGTGCTGAGCCAAAATTTGCTAAAATGCTTCTTCCTTTCCTGCATTCCATCAGTCAAATTATGCCCTATGGCTTCGGCTGTTGTCAATACAGACAACACACCAGGTGAGGTGGACATGTAATGATACTGCATAGTTGATGCCTCTCTCTGGTGGTGTAAAAATTATGCTCATTGGGAGAAGCATTGCAGGGAATTGGAACTAGCGGGCTGGCACAAGATCAGCTGTTGGACTGTGTCTGAAAGGCGCATTGGGGCTGTCACTTCCAAACCAGCAGCTGTTCCTTTTCGCGCCACTCCAGTAGCAAAACTCTGCAGTGTCCAAGCCACCTGCTAATACCCCAGTCCCGTCTTGTAACTTCCTACTCCAGCTGCTCTTTACTCTCATGGCTGGTTGCCATCATCACTGACTGTTACCAACAATGAATTCAGTGGCAAGAGAGAGGAGAGAGGGCTAAGGCAGCAGTAGGCTGCAGAAAAACAGGTCGCGTGGACTAGGTTGGAGAAGAGGAACATCTTGGGAATGTTGGGACTGATGGGCCTAGCACCCACCCCTTCTGTGCCACTCCCACTTCTTGCGTTTTCAAGCTCGAAACAACAGCAAAATCAAACGAAACAAAAGCCTTTGAAACAACTTCAAAACAAGGGAACGCAAAGTTTGGAAAATTTCGAAACACTTAGAGTTTCAAAGCCAGGCTTACTGGCTTCAGTGCTGGTCCCAGCCGGCAGCACCTGTCATCCATCAGGCAGATCGGGGGCACGCAGCCCCGGGGGGACTCTGCACAGCCCCCGCAGCCCTCCTGGGGGTGCTGGAGGGCCCCCAATCTGCCTCCTAGCTGACAGGAACCAGGTGCTACTGCCTAGGGCCAGTGGGGCCAGGGCAGATCAGCTCATGCAGGGACCCTCCCCCACCCTAGGATTGGGGTGGTGGGTCCCTGCACAAGCTGATCTGCCCCAGGTCCCACACACTCCTCAAGCCAGCTCAGGTACGGGGATCAGGGCAGCGGGTCCCCATACAAGCTTATCTGCCCCAGCCCTGTACTGGAGCTGGGTTTGAGGAGGGTGCAGGGTCCAGGGCAGATCAGCTCATGTGGGGACCCTCCCCCATCCTGGGATTGGGGCTGGTGGTCCCTGCACGAGCTGGTCTCCCCTGGCCCCACGTGGCAGTATCCAGCTCATGTCAGCTGGCATGCAGATTGGGGCCTGCCAGCACCTCCGGGAGGGCTGCAGGGGCTGTGCCGGAGTCACGCAGGGGCTGCATGCCCCCAATCTGCCTGCCAGGTGACAGGAGCTGGGTGCTGCTGCCTGGGGCCAGTGGCAGCAGCAATCCTCCTGGTACTGGATGTGAGCTGTGCCCAGCGCTGGTCTGTCATCTCGCAGCCAGATCAGGGCCCACACCCCCAGGAGGGCTTTGACGCAGTTCCCACAGCCCTCCAGGTGTGCGGGCAAGCCCCTGATATGCTTGCTGGATGAGAGGAGCTGGGTGCTATCACCTGGGACTGGCAGCAGCACCCATCTTCCCAGCGCCAGTCCCAGGCAGCAGTAGCACCCGGCTTCTTTCATCTGGCAGGCAGATCTGCAGCGCAGAGCCCCGGCAGCCCTCCCGGGGGTGCGGACAAGCCCCCGATCTGCCTGCCTGCTGCATTTTGTTTCCTCATAACCTATGGGCGAACCATTGAAACAGTGTCGAAACAACAAAACAGTTTTGACAAAATTAAAGTAACAGTGCTTTTGAAACTAAATGAAACTCGAAGTAAAACACTTCCGTTGAAACAGAAGTCAAATCAGAACAGTGCTATTTCACACAGCCTTAGTACTTACGGCATTATACAGCAGCTGACCAGGGTGTTTTAAAGATCTAGATTTTGACCTTTTAAGGCACCTAATACTCTTGTAGATCTGTACCTTAATTAGCATGCTCAGAAGCACTGAATGTTGACTTTACTTCCTGCCTGTTGAAACCAGTGAGGATGGTGGAAATACTGTTGCGCAGAGGTCAACACACAAAGTTTGCTAAAATCCAGCATTGGTGTAGATACAGGAACTTACTGAGTGGGATCCTTTTCAGGTGTTGTTGATCTGCCTGAGGAAAATAGAGAGGCTGCGTACAATGCTATCACCTTACCTGAGGAATTTCATGATTTTGACCAGCCACTGCCTGATCTAGAGTAAGCTTACTTTCCCTTATTTACTTGCTTGAATAATTTAATAAATTTAATAATTAACCTTTTAAAGAATACCAGGACTTAAAGACTAAGCATTTCATGTGGCAGTTGATTCAAATTCTAATATTCTAACCTGGGATGTGCTAGAATTCAAATATGTAGACAAGCAGTCGCATTTTTATGATTACTTGAATCTAAACTACTGTTTAATTGTGATAGAAGAAAAAAATATTTTGCAAGGAAATATGGTGAAGATGTGATATATACTTAACGTGTATATCTTTGAGCATAAGTTTTCTTCTGTAGGAAGGAAATTACTTTTGGAACTGTCAAGGCACACAAAACTAATGCTATTTTTTAGTTGATGGCCATTTTCTAATAATTTCAATTCTTAATCACTCAGTATCAAAACTTTTTATAACGGACATGATGACAAATTAAGTATCCAATTTGGAAATTGTGGGTTACCTCTTTTAAAATATTTACATTGGGGTATTTTTTTGGCCTAGATTATTCTGTATTGGAAGTCCTAGAACAGGGGTCAGCAACATTTTTGGCTGGAGTGCCAAAAACACCCCAACCCTGACCCACACCTTTATTTGGTATGCCAGGGGCAGACTGTGAGGGGTGCGATCCTCTTTGCCAGTGGCAGGTGCATGCATGCCTCTGGGCAGATGGCAGGGGTGGGTGTCAGGGTTGCACTTCCTTGGCCTGTCCCTGCCCTGCCTCCCTGAGGTGCACTTGCAGTTGCTGCTGGCATGGAGCTTGTGCCAGGGCTGTGGAGCCTGGCATATCTGTTGACAGCCTGCCTGCCACATGCTGCAGCTGCCAGGAGGCTGCAAACAGTTGTGCCTGGCTCCAGAGCTCTGGCCAGGCTCTGTGGTGGCAGTTGCTTGCACTTCTCTGGGTGTGTGGTGGAGGAGGGGCTGGGGTTGCACTGCCCTAGCCCCTTCCCCACCCTGCGCCCTGAAGCATGTGTGCAACCACTGTTGCCACAGAGCCTGGCACACTTGTTTAAAGCCTCCTGGCTGCAGCCGGCCTGGCCTCTGGGCAGCTGCTGCCAGTCATGGAATCCAGGCTGCTTGCAGCATCCTGGCTGCCTGCTGTGAGCAGCCCAGGCTCTGTAGTTGGTTGCGGCTGCCCAGAGCCCAAGCTGGCTGTGGCGTGCCCAGCAAAACAGCCTTGTGCCATGCTCTGGCATCGTGCCAGGGGTTGCCAACCCCTGTCCTAGAATGTAAATTACTTTGCCACTATCTTCTTAGTTTACAGTTAGTTTAAACTTGACATGCTTTTAACTTAAAAATTAATTCCATTAAAAAAAATACTTAATATTTTCTAAAAATGTAACTTAAGTTCATAGCTGCATACTAAAGCTTGCTGAATATATTAAATTGCTGAATCTCGTAAATCTTTTTTTGAAGCTAGCATTGGGTATTGCTGATTTATTCCTGAATTGAAGATCCCTTTTGTGATGCTGACAGCTCTTTCTTGTTTGTTTATTTGTTCTTCTCTGGACACTGATTACAGTTTAAGGTAGCACTCATGGAAAATCCTAAAGTTGTATGTGGTTCAGTCATACTGAGCCTATCTTTGTTTTTAAATGTTAAACTAATGCATTTGTACAAATGTACAACATATATTGATAGAAACAGACCTCCATAAAAGAATATGTCTGCTGATTTAAAGCATTGTAGTTTATCTGTAATAGACAACTTTGAAATTATATCTTCTGTTTTATTTAAGCGATATTGATGTGGCCCAGCAGTTCAGTTTGAACCAGAGTAGAGTGGAAGAAATTACAATGAGAGAAGAAGTGGGAAATATCAGCATCCTTCAAGATAATGACTTTGGTAAATGCTTTTCTGTTTAATAGTGCGTGAAGCTAAGTTTTTCACTAGCTCTTGTGCTAAAATTAAATTTTACAAATATTGTTGCAGCCCTACTTCTAACTGAACAGTTGAAGTTAATTCTGTGATAACTGCACATGAAATATTGCTAGCTAAATATTAGTCAAATATTCCTATGGGAGAGAATGTTAAACTTTCACTTGACTTTATTGGAGAAGGTTTTTTTTATAAAAATCTTACCTAACAGCCAAAAAAGATGCAACTGTCTTTATAGTAGTAGCAGTATTCATTTGAAGGATTAATGATTATTTAATATTGCTTATATTCCCTTTGCTATTTAAGCATAACTATCCAAACTATTAGCAACTGTGTTTTTCTATCTATTTTCATTGCATTAATAACTTCTTGGTATTAAAAATATATTAATTAGCAATCAACGTGGGTTCATTAGAGGCTGGTCCTGTCAGACCAACCTGATGGCCTTCTATGACAGGTCATAAAAGCCTTGGACGTGGGTGTCGCAGTGGATGTAGTCTTCCTGGACTTTAGGAAGTCCTTCAACACTGTCTCTCACCCCATCCTCATTAAAAAATTAGGGGTCTGTGGTGTTGACGCCTACACAGTCAGATGGGTCGCAAATTGGCTGGAGGACTGCACCCAAAGGGTGGTGGTGAATGGGTCATTTTCCACCGGGAGAGATGTGAGCAGTGGGGTTCCCCAGGGCTCGGTCCTCGGGCCCGCACTGTTCAATGTCTTCATTGGCGATGTGGACGACGGGGTGAAAAGCACCTTGTTCAAGTTGGCAGGTGACACTAAGATGTGGGGAGAAGTGAGCATGCTAGAAGAGAGGGACAGGCTACAACTAGATCTTGACAGGTTACAGAGGTGGGCGGATGAAAATAGGATGGGTTTCAATATGGACAAGTGCAAGGTGTTGCACCTGGGGAGGAAGAACCAGCAGCATACCTATAGGCTGGGGAACTCCGTTCTCGTCAGCACAGAGGCAGAGAAGGATCTTGGAATGGCTATTGATTCCAGGATGAACATGGGCCGCCAATGTGAGGACGTGGTCAGGAAGGCTAACCGCACTTCCAGGCATCCATAGATGCATCACGAGCAGGTCCAAGGAGGTGATCCTCCCCTTGCATGCGACATTAGTCAGGCCGCAGTTGGAGTACTGCATCCAGTTCTGGGTGCTGCACTTCAGGAGAGATGTGGACAGCATCAAGAGGGTCCAGAGGAGGGCCAGTCACATAATTAGAGGGCAGCAGGGCAGGCCCTACTAGGACAGGCTATGGGACCTGAACCTGCTCAGCCTCCACAAGAGAAGGCTGAGAGGGGATTTGGTGGCCGTCTATAAACTTGCCAAGGGGGACCAGCAGGCAGTGGGAGAGTCCCTGTTCCCCCAAGTATACCGGGGATAACAAGGAACAGTGTCCATAAGATGACTGAGAGTAGATTCAGGCTAGATATCAGGAGGCGCTACTTCACAGTCAGGGCAGCTAGGATGTGCAAGTGGTTCTCGACCCTACCCTGGGGGTCTTCAGAAGGAGGCCAGACAGCCACCTAGCTGGGGTAATTTGACCCCAGCATCCTTTTGTGCCCACGGAAGGTCGGACTAGATGATCTGCGTAGGTCCGTTCCATCCCTACCAACTATTAAGCAGTGGCTGAGAAATACTTAGGCAGCTGAACAATTATAATGGTGTATGTAACTAACTGAAACTTGTCTGTTGGTGTATAATTATAAAGTGTCTTAACTGAATCAAAACAGGAAAAATAATATATTGGGAAAAATATCCAAAAATGAATTCTGTGCAGAGTTTAATAGTGCTCTGTTAGTAGTAATCAGTAGCCTACTCATAGAATTGGTAGACCTCTGTAATATTGTTCTTTCCCTTTTTCATTAAACACATTTGGTGCGAGGAAGGTCTAATATGAAAACCTCTTCCAAGACAGAGGACCTGGTTGCATTTTAAATATATTGATGCTGTAGTGAAGCCAACTTCAAAGTGAGATATTTAGAATATATATTCTGCATGAGAAAAATGACTGTTCAGAAGAGAAAGGAGGAAGCTGCTTCTATAAATCAGAACTAAATATGAAGAGAATGTAGAGGTAGACTAACTGAAAAGTCACTTAAAGTAGTAGGTAAATTAGAAAAGACTAAGAGGCAGTACGAACAATTCATTTGTGTGAATAGAAACACTTGTAGAATTGACCTACATGATGATAAATTGCAATAATAGGACTGAACGTGTAAAGCTAAACATTTGGATAGTTGTTCCTAGGTAGATAAAATAATCTCTTCATCTATAACAATAATAATAAATGTTTTTACAGGTGACTTTGGAATGGATGATCGTGAGATGATGAGAGAAGGTAGTGCATTTGAAGATGACATGTTAGTGAGTACTGGTGCTTCCAATCTCTTGCTGGAACCTGAGCAGAGCACTAGTCATCTTAATGAGAAAGCTAACCACCTAGAATATGAAGACCAATACAAGGATGACAACTTTGGAGAAGGGAATGATGGAGGAATATTGGGTATGTTTGTAATAGTATAGTAACTTGTTTTTATTCTATATTGCCTTGACTTGTACTTGAATTATAAGAATTTTTGGGGTGTGGGCTTTTTTTGAACATTTGCATCATGTTTAGTAAAATGGACCCATGGCCCCTGGGTGCTACTGTAACCTTGTTAATACCCTAAGGTAAGCACTGACTCTTTAAAGAGATCCGGATAAATGTCACTTCTCATATTCAAAATACTCCATTATGTTCATGTATAGTTTGAAAGAGAAGCTAGTATGTGATTCTCCTGGCACATGTAAGCCTCTTGGATGCTTAGCAGTGATTTTAATTTATATGTTGGGAATATTACTGGATCTTTCCTTCCCTCAAATTCACAATTGCTGTGAAACCTTTCCACACTGGACTTAAACTTTTTATGTACCATACAAAGATTATATGTGATTGAATAATAAGAATGAGAGGACTAATAAAGCTGACATAAATTTGTGACAGATAATTTGTCTTAATACTGTTTATTAATTAAAAGCTCTGCCAGAGTTCATGTTTTGTAAAATATCCCAACAGTCCCTTCCTTTATTTTTTTTGAAGCATAAAAACTATGTAAAGCATATACAAACTGTAGGTTTAACAGCATAAGTATAAATGATACAGATTTTATAAGTGTTACCAGAGTTTTGTTCATCTATATTTGTAATTGATTCTCTTACATCACTATTTCAGATGATAAACTTCTCAGTAATAATGATGGCGGTATCTTTGATGATCCACCTGCTCTCGCAGAAGGTGGAGTAATGATGCCAGAACAGCCTGCCCATGATGATATGGATGATGATGATAATGTATCAAGTAAGTGTTTTAATCTAGGACTACTTCTAGTTCAAGATTACTTGGAATGTTGTTTCGTAGTAAAGCATTTGTGCTCGTGGTGTAAAAAATTCTGAGGTGAGCCTTTTGATTTTGTTTGGAGATGAGGTGGAGGGCTCGAGGATCTAAATGTTCCAATTTACAATCCGATGCATGTAATTCCTGGTTTTATTTTGTAGTGGGTGGACCAGACAGCCCAGATTCAGTAGATCCAGTAGAACCATTACCTACTATGACGGATCAAACAACACTGGTTCCAAATGAAGAGGAAGCTTTTGCTTTGGAGCCAATTGACATCACTGGTGAGTAAGCCACTTGGAAGCCCTTTGCTTGAAATATCTGAGATCTTAACTAGGAAAACCTTGGCTCAGAATGGAAATGAGTCTGCTTGTGTTACCACTAACTTAGTTTAACTTAGTCGTGCTTTCCCTTCAGAATGTGAAATTGTCTTAATCTCCAATAACTTTTATCTGCTGCATTCCTTGGAAAATATGCGGTACAGTACCATGTACTGGATTGCAATAGTTGGACCATCTTGTCCTTGCTCAGTCCCTTGTTAAAAAAGAACATAAATTTGTCTACTTATACAAATGCTATTAATTACATGTTGGAAATATTACCAGCTTGATGTCTCGAACCAAGATAACCTAAATAAAATAAGAATATTATAATTCTATGTAGGAGAAAACTGTTTACAGTATACACAACACTGTTATGAATTTAAAAACTGTCATTCTATGGATTTTTTGTTCAGATAATCCTTGAAAAACATTGATATTATTCTCTACTAGTTTAGTTAATAACAAAATACTTTAGATTTCCTAATCACACCAAACAGGAGTATAGCTTATAGTAAAGTCCATGAGTAATCAATGGAACTATTCACTTATGTTTGCTTTCGGTGTGTGAATCATTAAAAATCAAATGGTAGTAGATTTCAGTTTCAAAGCACTGTTTGTATATTTTACTTTGCTTATAAATAATAACAATGATTTACTGCCTTTTCCTGAATAAGAATCCCTTCAATTTCTATTTTAAAACAAAATATGGGAACTTGTAAGATTTTTTTTTATCTGTTTGGTTTTTTTTTAAAGTCTGATGTAGTAACTGGGATTTTGAGCCTGAATCTTTTATTTCTCTTGTCTCAACAGTCAAGGAAACTAAAGCTAAGAGGAAGAGAAAATTGATTGTAGACAGTGTGAAGGAGTTGGATAGCAAGACTATCCGAGCCCAATTAAGTGACTATTCTGATATTGTCACCACTTTGGACTTGGCACCTCCCACCAAGAAACTGATGATGTGGAAAGAAACTGGGGGAGTTGAAAAGCTTTTCTCTCTGCCTGCTCAGCCTTTGTGGAACAATAGATTATTGAAGGTAACCAGTACTTCTGAAAGATTATCTTAAAACATGAAATACCATAATGGAAGACTAAAGTCAATTAAATGAATGCTCTCTATAGTGAACAACATGATGCAATAACAGCATCTGGTAGATTTATGTATTTTTGAGAGCTTGCCATGACTGAAAACAAACTACTTAGTTGCCCAGGCATTAAAAAAGCAAAAAAACCCAAAATGTATTTCATTGCATTTCAATCGCAGATTAAATCTTTGACAAGCTTCTCTTCTTTAAAGAAAGAAGACTGGAGGGGAGAGTCTCATAAGTAACTACATCTCTAAAAAAAAATAATAATAATAATAATAATTACGAATTAAAAATAAGCTGGTAGTTGCAGCATCGGAGAATGATCTACAGTAGTGATTTAACTTGTTTTCTTACAGCTTTTTACTCGGTGTCTAACGCCTCTTGTACCTGAAGACCTTAGAAAGAGAAGGAAAGGTGGAGAAGCTGATAACCTGGATGAGTTCCTTAAAGATTTTGAAAATCCAGAGGTACCCAGAGAAGAACAGCAACAGCAGCAGCAGCAGCAACAGCGGGATGTCATTGGTTTGTGATTCATTAAACATGCACTTCCTTTCAAAGAGATTAATTTTTCACTTGGCGTTGTGCTTTACATTAAACTGCTAAAACAAGAACAAAGTTGTGAAGCACTGGGTCCTGGAATTACTGTGTAGCCTGTGTAGCCACAATTTCTGTTAGAATCTGTTTCTCTAAAAACAGAAGTTCAGTTGATCCAACTGTGTACAGTGAATTAAATGGATTCTAAGGGCTGGTCAACATGCATACGTTGACTTTTTTTTTTTAATTAAGTCAGTGCAAACTACAATTGAACATTTGGACCTAGCTGTTGTAAATTGCAAATGTGCTGCTGAGCTCCAGTCTGCTTAGGCTTCAGAAACAACAGTGTGATCATTTTTTATACCCCAGGAAGATCAAAATATCTATAAAAACCTTTTTTAACTTGTCATAATTCATAGATGAGCCTATCTTGGAAGAGCCAAGCCGCCTACAAGAATCCGTGATGGAAGGCAGCAGAACAAATTTGGATGAATCTGTAATGCCACCCCCACCACCACAAACAGGAGTAAAGCGCAAGGCTCAGCAAGTGGAACCCGAACCTGTGTTACCTGTGAGTCAGGTTACAGTGCCCCTGTTTGTTCCACAGGTGGCTGTTTTTAAACGTGTCCCCCCAAAAGAGCATGCATCATCCCATGCATGGCTCTCCTTACTTAGAAATAAATGGTATCTTTTGACGGGAATATCCTGGTCCTATTGCATAGTGAAAGAGGAAAGATGAGTGGTGTTTGTATCACTTTGTTTTGAACTGGCTTGGGTAACATTTTTCAAAATGTTCAGTAAAACCAACACCTTCTTTCCCTTAAAAATGAAATGGCAAAAAGCCTAGTTTATTCAGGAAACAATCTGCAGAAGATAAAATCTGTTACTCAGGAAATTGTGAAGCCTTTTCATCATGGGAAGTAATGTGCAAACACTTTTCTGTTAAGGGAAAAGCTGTTACTATGCTAAACAGACAAGCTCTTATCTTTTAAATGAAAGATGTTTGGACTCTTTCCATGAGAGATGCTTCTCTAATGACTACATGCTTATGAAGTAAGCTAAAGTAAAACCAAATGCCTGCAGACATAGGACTGGTATATCCCTGTTTGGATATAAAGAGGGTTTGGCGGGTTGCTTTAGCTCTGATTTGTCCAGGAAATATCTGAAGAGCAAATCGGGCAGAGCCCAAAGCTTGCTCTTCCTCTCACATACTTAATTTGATCTTTTGGATATAGTTTGCTCTCTTCTTTCAAAGAATAGCAGAAGGTAGTGGTGTTGCCCACATCTTATGATGGCTTAGTAGTTAGAGCACTAGTTTTGGAAGTGGAACACCTAGATTCTAGATCCTCTTCAAACCAGAGGAATTGGTCACAAATTTCACTTTCACAAGCTCTAACAGCTAGTGTACTGTTAATCTCTCCTATTTGAATCTGTAGTGAAGCCATGATGGCAAGTTTCATGGGGCAAGACTGAGAAAATGAGTGTGTCACTGTAGTTCAGGGATGAGGAGACTTTGGGGGGCGGGGAAGAGAATTCTGAGTTTTTAAAATTGGTACATTAACTCCTAAATCCACTCGCACTTTTGGAAACTACTGTTGGCTAATATCAATTGTCCCATGTTTTACAAAGGGTGCCATGGTGGTTCTGATGTACCCGAGAGGCATTCCCCAGTCAGTTAACCAGGAGTTTAATGCTGCAGTGCATCTAGGATTTTAAAGCCAATGTGTGCATGCCTGAAATACTATGTTTTGGAATATGATCAGTAGTATGGGTTGATCACAATCAGCAGTGGTTAGCCTGCAGCATTTGTGGCACAAGTGGCATGACCAGTGTGTGGCACGTAGCAGATCAGGGAGGGAGCAGAAGGCAGAACAGCCGATAGGACACGGAAGGGCATGGGGCTTTTTGGCAGGTGTGCCACAAACTAAGTTGGCCTGTACTCATCTAAAATACTAAGCTGGGAAATCTACTTCTGTTTTATTGATTTCTAGGCTTAATGGAATCTTAGGGGATTTATGGAGAGCAAAGCAAAAATACTTGGATCTTTGGAAAATGATTGAAGGCTAGATTGTTTTAGTTCTGTGCCAAACAGTATTTTATTAATCGACTTTCAATACTAAAAGTATCAGTCACTGAAGTTTATGTTAAATATAAAGATCCCCAAATCCCATTTAATTTGATATCTCCTTTATATATTTTCAAAAGCCTCAACCAATGCCACAGCTGGAAATGCCGCAAGTAGAAATGCCTCCAGAAGAGCCTCAAAACATATGTCAGCTAATACCAGAGCTGGAGCTCTTGCCAGAGAAGGAAAAGGAGAAAGAGAAGGAGGAGGAGGAGGAGGAAGAGGTAGGAATTGAACTCTTTAAAACTAATGCAGGCTAAATCTGTTTTTAAACTCTTTATTTCTCTTCTGTTTCAGACCGCTAATAAATGGAGTTGTATTTGTCCACTTGAGAGATTATGGAAACAGTGCGTGAAAATTGCAATTGAAACTGAAAAGTCCATTTTTTTTTTTTTTTTTAAACCTTCATTTGTACAGTTTGTACAAACTTAATTACATAAGCTTTATAGTTTGAGAACTGGAGAACATTTCTTGCATTGTGTATATTCTGAGTTTGGCCGTGTCTATTGTTCTCGTTTAAGGCGTAAGGTTTTAAGATTTAAACTTTGTAAAAGCAAGCTTTTATCAAGCAGAAGCACAAGTTTATGTCTTATGAATCTGAATATAAGCTCTTCACTAGAATTTTAAATAGAGGTGCACCCATATATCAGTCTATAATTGGTCTCTTTTTCTTCTGTCGCCTTCTCCTGCCTCTCCCCAGGCAATCCAGCATTTTTTCTCATATTGTACAAAGTGCTTCTTTGGAATGTAGAGCTTCACTTTTGACGGCTGAGTTTCTTTTCCATGAGAAGAGGCAGGATGCTTCTGTAACTGCAGTCCAAAATTGGACAGAGATTCTGTTCTGGTTTTGGCACTTGTAAGACTTCTGTCTCTTAAAGAAACTGTATTTCTCTCTGTCTCCTTTTTATGACTCACAAAATAGGAATCCTGAATTAGCACGTATGTTTGGAAAGCCCACTCTGAAAGGTCCTACAAAAATATTAAGGGTATTGATCAATGCAAAAAACTCCACAGTGTGTCCAAAGCCATTCTTTACTTCCCACTTAGATTATGGAATGCTTACTTGACAAATTCCCATTTCTTGTCATTCTTTGAGTGCCAGCTTGGCAACTGTAAGAGCAAGCAATAGCCTTTTTTGTCAGTTTTTAATACCTGCAGGATATCTTCCTTGAAATATAAGAAATCCATATATTTCTTCTAATGTAATCTCTAAGTTGAAATACCTTAGCTTCACAAATTCTTCACTACCTTGAGGACAGCAGTGCTGTAGGGATGCTGAGAAATACAGATTCCACATTGAGGCACCTACAGGCTTGATATTTACATTTCGCATAGCTAATGAATGTGGCTTTTTTCTTTTGTTGGTTGCAGGAAGAAGATGGTACGGGGGGTGATCAAGATCAAGAAGAAAGAAGATGGAATAAAAGAACTCAGCAGATGCTTCATGGTCTTCAGGTATATATGATGATACACTTTATAAGAATATAATTAGTGCCATACTGGGCCAGACCAATGTCCACCTAGCCCAGTATCTTCTCCCTGACAGTGGCAGGAGTGGATGCTTTTGAGGGAGGAGCATATGAACAGAATATATCTAAAGTGATTTTTATCCCTGTTATACCCTCCCTGGCATCTACCATCACTGGTTTAGAGGTGCCTGTGAGGATAGCTATCAAACAGACCAGATTTGAGGTATAAATGAAGGGGTCAGCAACCTGTAGCATGCAAGGCCATTTTGCTCAGTGCACTACGGCTGGCCTGAACTGTGGGCAGCTGCTGCCAGGCTGCTCACAGCAAGCGATGGGGAGGCTGCAAGCCCTGCTCCAAGCAGCTCAGGCTCTGTGGCAGATAGCAGCTGCCCAGAGCCTGGATTGGATGTGATGGGCAGCTGGGAGGCTGCAACTGGTGCACTGAGGTCTGCAACCCTTGCCTGGCTCTGTGGTGGTGGCAGCTGCACATGTACCTCGGGGCTGACAGTGGGAAAGGGGCCAGGGGCATCACAGCTAGTACTCCCCTACTCTTCTTCCTCCATGCTCCCTGCGTGCAAGGTGCCAGCTGCAGCAGCAGCTCTGGCTCCCAGGACT